AGAGCTACGAACGGACATTGCGGCCAGAGACGAGTTTTATCAGCAATTATTGCAGGAGAAAGACACAGAGTACAATGCATTGGTGAAGAGTCTCAAGGACAGAGTACGTAGAGAGTTACCGAATCAATTTGGCTTTGACTAATGGTATTTATGATTTCAAATCAGAATAAGCGTGTTTAAAAAAAATTTATTTCAGGTGATCACGTTGGAGGTGGAATTGACGGAGACGCAGAGACGATTCGGTCTGCCGGTACGATTGCCATACGACAATACGACTGCCAGGATAGTAACGCCACAGCTTTCCCGTCGACAATTACCTCCGCCGCCTTCGTCAACCAGCTGCCAGCTCTCAGACACGGAGACCTCCGATCTCAGTAGTCCAGACGACGGCGATAAGACCGCGACTGTGGAGAGAAAACTGCCTCTGCCAATACCGGTGAAGGAGGAACTAGATCGCGCCGTACCGGCCCATCGTCTGCTGGATAATTCCGCAGGCAAGAGCAAGGCTGAGCTGGCCAGTCGGGGCGGCCTGGCTAATCGTCAATTGCCCAAACGCTCCGGAGGCCTCAGCAACAGCAGCTCCGTATGTTGATCTTTTGTATTAATCCATTAAAGGCCGTATTATATAATACACTCTGCTCGATATGGCCACAAAAATATAATTATTAAAGAATATAATTTTAAGAAATTAAGATACGAAAAAATAAATATAACGGATTATCACACACTATATAAGCAATTTTTAATACGATGAAGTTACATGATTAATAATAAACTTTAATTTTAGGATTACGGTCTTGACGAATCAGGCGATAATACGGATGACGATTCCTCTTCAAAACTTACCTCGCAGGACAACAGCAGCAGGTCGCCCAATGACTTTACATGCAAACAGTCCAATTTGAGTTCTTACTCCAGCACTTCGTCTATCAGTTCGCTCAAGGGCAAATCGCACATGGATCCTATACATGCCACTATGATCCGACAGCACAGTACCATTAGTTCACAAGTCAGGGCGATGACCGAACAGAGCTGGCCACAATCGCAGAAAAGTATGTCAAGTATATGTTTGCCTTAATATGTTGATTTATTAAAGATCATAAAAAAAGAATATGCAAGTCTTAATATGCATTCAAAATCATGGAATAAACAAAAAAAGTTATCAGATTTACTTCACAAGGAATTATCTTTTTGCCAGTTATATTTTGATTTTGGATGCAGCTTGTATACAATTATAGTTTTATTTTATATTCAGCTTTATTGAAAAATATTTCAATAATACAAAATTCTAAATTTCTCTTGATAGCTTTAACTGGACCTCCTGCATCATTGGCGGAACAGCTAAAGCAGGTTTTAGCAGAGAGAGAGAAACGACTTGGCGGGAATGATTCTTCGCGAGAGAGCTCTGGAGACTTCAGTGATCTCAATAATCCTCATAATGATCCAACAATGGTTACACATCACCTTGTGGAAGAGATACGACAAGCTGTTAACGAGGCTAATCAAAGAGGTAAATGAAAATAAATTGAGTTTTAAATTACAGTCAATTACAACAATAATATTTTATTCTAATTAAATTAATTATTTCTCAGTGAAAAAGGTGTCAATTTCCTCATCGAACTTAATCAGTAGTGGAAGCGCACCTTGGCACCATCCAGGAAGTTCTCCTTCAAGCTTGTCTTCCGGCGGTTCCGTGAGTCCTCCTGGTGTTGATCCTAGTCCTTCAAAAGCCGGTAGCCTAACAGGTACTTTGGATATTTTACATATTAATGTAGTCCCAGCATATACTTTATTTTTTCTTAATTAAAATTGTTTAAATCAAAATTAAGGATATCTAAAAAAAAGTTTAACTTAAAGTTAAGAATGAATTTCTATCAGCTTCTTTCAATTTGCTTCCTTTCAAAGCGCTATTAATATAATGCTTTATTCAAAAATATAAAAATCTTGCTTTACTCGCTTAGCAATCTTAACAATGCACGACTTTTTGATTCAAGACGTTTTCTTTTTTTTTTATAAAAGTTAATATTTATTTAAGATATTCAATGAAAAAAAATAACGGAACAGTTATTAGTAAAAAGATGCAAACATCAGAAAGGGATACGGTTAACGATTAATTGCCAATAAAGACTAATAGCGTAATAAGATCTTGCTACATTTTATTTATTTTCCATCATGCATGCGTTATCAATATAGATTCGAGCACAGTTTGGTTGCCCGCTCACCTAAGCGACTTTGGTTTAGGTGACAAAAAATCTCACTTCTGGCAGAACGCTCCAGTCACGGATTGGTCCAAAGAGCAAGTGAGTATATTCGATTGACTTCTTAGAAAAAAATAATTTGCGATTGAGAAGAATTCATTTTCATACATACATACAAACCGTTTTAAATAAATATCTAAAAAAACAAGCAGATTTTGTGCTGGAAAATCTTCTTAACATAATATATATGTATATATATATTATGTCATTTCCTTTCTTCTCTCATCTCTCATTGTCATAAAAATAGTTATACTTTGCTTTTTTACTTTTAATATCATACGGTTTAAAAAATATCTTTTTATAGGTTTGCCAGTGGCTTACAGGAATTGGTTTAGAACACTATTCATCGCAATTTTTGGATAACGGTATCAACGGGAGTAATCTGTTACGTTTGGAATCTAGGGAATTGAAGGCCCTAGGAGTTTACGGCGAAGCTAAGGCGCATCTGAAGCGCAAGTTGAAAGAGTTAAGAGCCCAGGCCGATCGCGAGCGCAAGGAGCGCAAGGAAATAGAGCGAATGCGGCGAAAAGCGGAAAAAGCCGCGCGGAAAAAGTAGCTCGAGAGCGAAGTATAGAGGCGTTCAATATCAATTAGAGGCGCCCGGTAGGATAATGCGGACATTCTCGACGCTAGGTGTACAGGGTATCTCGAAAGAGGTAAATAGAGGAATTAATAAAATGAATTATATCAAAATTTATTTATTGAAAAATTATATTTATTGAGAAACATCGGAGATCAAATTTGTCCTAGGAAATTCGAATAAAGAAATGACGCCGTCCATTTCACATAGGATGTCATCTAGATATGTCATCTAGAAAGCTACGTATTCTTGTCATATCTATGAAAGAATTGTACGTAAGCAAGTTTTTTAAATATTGTTTTTTTTCTGACAGCCATTTTTTTGGGGTTCATCGTCTTTTAAAATAATTTCAAGCAGTATAGAATTGAGATCAAAATCACATATTAAATAATTTCTGATAATAACTGAGATCATAATCATTTCAAATAATTCATAATAGTAATTATGAGGGTAGTATTAATCTTGTAATAATTTAATTTAAAGACATAATTTATGCTTAATTATGCTTATGAATTATTTGAAATAAATAATATAATTTGATGACACATAATAGCAATTTTTCGTCATTTAATGCCATTTGTTACTACAATCTAATTTTAATCAAAAGAATTATTATATTTCAATAATAAATTGTCAACTTTTATGATAACCCTTTCAATTTTAAAAGAATAATTATATTAAAATTTTCATTAATTTTAAATATTTTCTAATAAAATAATTGTAAAAGTACATAATTAGTCGAAATAATTCCTAATAATTGAAATTATTATTACAAATAAAGTTTCATAATAATTTAAGTTACCTCTCTGGGACACTCGGTACACACTGGCGTTTTCTTCAAGATTACTCCGCTTTCGTTCAATTGTAATCTGTTTCCTTAAATGAGGGCCACGTACTGAGCCTCCGCATTTATTTGTTATCGCCATACTTATACTTTTGCTATTATATAGGTATATATTAGTATTTTTTTCTTAATTATTAATAGTATTTAAAAGAGAGAGCGAGTGTGTATGTATGTGAATGCGTGTAAAGAAATTCTAGCGATTTAATTAAACAGCCGCGTTCTAATAACGCGTCTTGCCCTACATTAGTGGTCGCTCGATTTTCGCTTTAATGAATGCCGATTCTTTTATGATGGATATAAAATTGTCAGCCGCTTCTATATTGCCAGACGGGTTTAGAGCGCGGAAAATGTGTAATAAAAAATGTCATATTACTTAAATACACTTTTTTGTAATTGTATGTACGTATATAGTATACATACTCTTATACATATATGTTATATATTGCCACATATATATAAGCATTGTTCCCATATTTATTTCTACGATCGCGTATATATATATACATATGTATGTATAATATATTATATATAATATATATACATATATTATATATAATATATATACATATATATAACTTCTTTGCAACTAAGATCGATCTTTCGAATAAAATGTAATCATCATTTTCCTCGATTTTATATAAATGCGTCGCGTGCGTCAACGAATTATTAATTAAAAGTCTGTCTCTGATCAATTATGTTGGATTTTTAAAATGCCTGAAAAATTTTAATTTAAATTTTTTGTAATTATCGACTTTAAGTAGATTTTAACTAGAAAAAAGTTATTTTTTGTTGAATAATTATGGCATTTCGCAGTTTGTTACATTGTAACAAGTGCTTGGAAAAAATAATGGACCATTAATAGATCATTCTATGCAAGCATAAGGAGAATGAAAGCACTCAAGAGTACCAAGAGTGGATCCTGTACCCTGCAAAAATATCTATCAATAATAATAATAATAATAATAATATACATATACATATATATATATATATATATATATATATAGATAAATAAAAACACATCTCGAAATTTCAATCGTAATCTGTTTTGCAATGTGAAACGCAGTGGAGATCTTTTTTGGTTATAAAAAATTGAAAAAATTTTTCTGAGAAAATAATTATACAAATTATATATATCGAAATCGGACATGAACAGAAGTAGGATCTACGCATCACGAAGGTTGCTTCCTATTTTTAAGAGATCAAAAAGACCGCTTTCCGATTTTAAAATGTTTTAATATTAAATGATATAAAAGATACCGATAAAAATATAATAAAAATTTATAATATTATTCGATAATTTTTTTAATTTGATATATAGGACATATATTTTCTACGATTAATAACTTTTTTTTATAATAGATATTTTATATTGCAATTAATCAATTTGATCAAAATCTCTTGTTAAAAAGAAAAAATGAAATTGATCAGAGACAACTTATATACTTTACAGACTTGTTATAATTATTTTGTAATTAAGAGATACCGTTTCCCGTAATTTATATTTATTCGCTCCGAATTTGCTCAAAGCGAGACTTTTACATGTCAGATGTTAACAGATTTGCATCCTTCCCTCGATCATTTTCCATAGAATTGTCAAACACTCTTGAAAGACTCAAGGATAAGTCCTTTGTTGTCAAGCTATTGCTGTAAATTCTGGGACACTCAGTGTCGAACATTCCACGTGAAATCAGATAGAATAAAGCCAAACGTGTGGCCAGACTGCTCCCACGTTAAGGAGAGATCCTGAGCGAGCATAAGGCTGCAATAAGTCGACGCAGAGTTGCGCCGGAGACGAGGACGAGCGTACAGCTGTACGCGTACTTATTTATAGTAGCGTTGAACTTTTGAACGCTCCACTTTGAACATTTCGAAACGCTACGCAAACCGCGAACGATCGAAAATGTTGAACATTGGAGCGTAATATGTAAATATCACGTATGTACTGAACACGATATATGATTAATAACGACGACTGTAACTGGTGAGAGAGAGAGAGAGAGAGAGACGAATTAATGTATATGTATGCATGTGTGCGATTTGTATGAGTACGCGGAGTGACAAAAAACGATTACAGTGTCATAATGCTAATCTACGAGGCATAATCCTGAATTTTCATCGTCGTAAATCCTTATAGAAGTCCTCCATAGTTGCATTACTCGGCGATTGCAACGCGCACTTGTTGTTTTTGTTATACTCACAACGAACTGCGGGAATGAATTGTCTATGTTTCTTATAAGGATTGTAATGATATATATCGCCGTTAGCGAAACACGTTTCATCAACGGAATGATCCTCCTGCACTTCGGCTATCCATAGTGAAATTTTGCTTTTATTTCTTTCGATACTCGTTTAATTACATTTATTAAGAATCTGTGGATCTTGAGCTTTGAGGATTTCTTAGTATTATGAAGACTATAGATGTTCTGGAATGTTTTAAATTTGATCAAACCTTTCTCATTTTTTTTATCTTTGGATCTGTAGAAAATCTATAGTCTTACAGTCTATATATTTTTAAAACTTCAGATTATTCTTATGATTCTATATTTTTGAAACGCGTTGAGTTCTTTGAATTCTGTGGTTTCTTTGAATGAAGTCCTGTATTTTTTCCGTTGTATTGTACATCTTGAAAATCTTTGAAATTTTAGATTCTTGTAATTTTAAAAACTTCCAGATTTTCATAGAATTAATATTCCTAAGCTCTTGGATTTTTAGATTGTTTTCAAATATTTGAATGTTTTTAATCAATCAATTTATTATCAATCTAATCGTTTTATTCTTGATTTATTTGATTGTTTGTTTTTTCAATTGTTAAATCGAACACCATCACATTCTTTTGCTCTTTGAGCAAATTCTCAAGTCTGGACTCTCATTTATGTACTTCCGTTCCCCAAAACTCCTGATCCTTCAGTTATCCGTTATATTGAATTATGACGAGAAATCGTGTGAATTCTTTAAAATAAATTTTTGTAATAAATAACGGTCGGAATAACAAAATTTATACGTATCATAATTCAATATAGCTACAGCGAGGAAATAGGAGCCTTTTGGGATGGAGTCTTTACAAAGCCGACTGATTTATCATAAGTTTTGTAGTCAATTTTCAACATCACTTAACCGCATAACTTCGAGGAGCGCCTCATACACGATCCGATTAATTGCTTAAATCAGCAAAATTCTTAAAAAAAAAAAAAAATTCTCGCCGTTTCTACTGGATCATGTTGCGCGACTGTTTGATTATCTATAGCAATTGTAAAAGCAAGAAGATGATATTTAAACTTACGTATTGCTGTAGCATTAGATTCAACATAGCGTGATTAATCGTAAGTGACAAGCGCGTGTAACATATATATGTTTGATTTTATATTATAAATACTTCGAGAGAGATATATTGATAACTTGTTTTTTAAACGTTATCGCATACACACTTTTGCTGTTGCTTTTGTCGGATCGTGTGTGATTCGAGTCATGTACATGTTTCCATTAATTTGAGATTGTTGTTTACGAGAGGAAAAAGATAATTGAGGTGGTAAGAGGATGATGATATGATAATGGAAGTACATGCGAAACGGCAGCTTTTTAATATGTCTACGAAAAATATTGTCAAACAATACTCTTGAACGTTTTAATTAAAAGTAATTCGTACGATACATAAAACCTGATTTTTTAATTTTTTACTCTTAATATTTATGCAAGGGTAAGAAATTTTAAGATTCTCTGCTTTGCATAAAAATATATATTTATTAAATACGTTTTTATAAAAAACAATTTTGACCTTTGGTTTATATATGGTTGCTTAGATACATTCGTTTGATCGATATTTTATATAACATTGTATCGAGTTTTATAGCAAACACACAAGAAGAGAAGTTGCATCGAATTGAGTGAACTATTTGTCAAAATTCGAATTCGAATTATGGCAATAATTATCAAGGATTATCAATGGCGTCAGACAGAGAAGAGGATAATAATTTATGTGCCTCTGAGAGGTCATCCTAAAAATGTACATTTATTCGTGATAGACGATTACGTAAAGGTATATTCAATTGTTTTTTAATTTTCGAAATAATATTCTGTTACAATTTTTCTGTTAAAATTTTAATGACTTTTAAAAACGATGTATGATATAAGTAAAAAAACTTCAACGTATTAAAATATCATGAGTATTCATAAAACTTGGACTGACATATTGAATTTTTATTGAAGATTAGTTTTCCGCCATTTATTTTGGAATTATTTCTATGGGCAAACGTGCTCGAGGAAGAGAGTGAATGTACTTTGACAGATACTGAAGCAATCTTCTCTTTGCAAAAAGCGAGCGTGGCTTCTGACTGGCCAAACCTCGAGGTGAAGGACATTAGCGAGGAGCAGAAACGCGATTCTAGAAAACGAGCTTTAGAAAAAGCACAAGACGTTTCGGATAATCGTGCAAAATCTAAAAGTGGTAAGGATTGTTAATTAAAAAATAATTCGAATCCTCACTTTTGAACTATGAATAAAGAGCAAGTAATTACACGGAAAAAAAGATTGGCATAATTATTATATATATTATATACATATAGATAAATCTTTATTATTTTAAATATGTATTATAAATATTACACACACATACACAATATGGTATATTATTTGATATTTTTAAATATTAGGTGACATATATTGTAATATATACTGTTTATAGATTTATTTATATTTGTGTTATAGATATTTATTAATTATTATAATATATAATTCTAATTAATTACTTTCTGATCTTTTTGGAATCGAACAGATAAGATATTTATAACAGCATTCTAAATATATTGGAACGTAATATATTTTTTAATTTTTTAATATATATTTTACGTTATAAGTTGAAGAAACTAAAAATAATATTAAATTGGAAATAATATTCTATTTATAGAATTAGAAAATATAAAAAAGTAATTATTTTTTAAAACTAAAAATGTTTTTCGTAATAAATAGGAATTATTTATTGAAAAATGTACCACTGCTTTGCAGAAAAACGTCAATATTTGCAAAAAGAAGCCGTAAAAGTGCAAGTAAATTTGGATACTGATACATTAAATAAAATAGAAGCTTTAAGAGATTCTCAGCGTAGAGGTGCAATGCAAGATTTTGAAGAATGGCGATCAAACGCGGAAATGCCGATTTTTCAGGATATTTCCGGCAAGGTGCAAGAGAATAGAAAGGCATACAGGTATTGTTTAAAAAAATATAGAGAGTACGCCAAACCGATTAAAGTTCCACATATTAAACGATTAAAGATTGATACATATTTCTGGAACTATAAACGAAAATGACATCTCTTTTTCTATAAAATATTCTATAAAATATTCGATTCTTTTCATTTAATCAAAGAATTTTTTCGAAAGAGCTCCACTTAAATGGTTCAAGGATGATCTTGGCATCCTGCGATCTCGAGAAATCAACAAGAAAGAAAAATTAAATAAAGAACTAAAAGAAATAAAAGAAAAACAACAAGACAGCTCAATAGTTATAGAAGAACTAATTGTCGAAGAAAATGTGAAGGAAACATCATCGATTGAAGAAAATCTGAAAAAAGAATTAATTGTTGAAAAAGATACAAAAAAAACATTAATTAACGCAGAGAATATGAAAGAAAACTCAATTATTGGAAAAGAACTAAAGAAAGAATTAAATATTAAAGAAAAAATGGAGAAAGAATTAACCGTTAAAGAAAACTTGAACACAGACTTAATTGATACAGCGAATCTGAAAGAAGATACAGTTCTCGATGAAAATATTCAGAAAGAAGGGAATACTTTAGGGATAAAGGAGGCAACTTCGAGTAAGAGTTCCGATCTTGAAGAACAGTTTTCTAGTTGTTCCGAGGATTCCGAGTCGGATTATGAAATGACATCCTCCAGATCTGCAACAAAGTCTTTAATCAAGAAAATGGATCAGAAATCTTCGCAAGGATTCTATATGAAAATGAAGAAACAAAAGCCAGATCAGAATTTGATCGATAAAGTACTGAAGGGTCAATATTACAAAATGAATCAGATATTTGATGAATCAGCGAATGCAGTTCCACTTCCCAGAAGAAGCGGAACTATCAATATAACTTTCTCTGAACGGGTCTTTCCTACTCCAGCCCGGGAGAGTTCTCTTATTGAGGAACAGGAAGTATGCTATATATTTTTAATTGTATTATAAATTATATGACAAGTAATCTTCTTAACAAGAAGAGTTGATAAAAATAACATTTTTTTAGTAAAAGATTGATGGAAATGAATTTTTTCTTAATTGAGAACCTGTTGAAAGTCAATTTTTCTCTTCGAATTTTTCTCATCCTCTTCGAAATAATTCCATGAGAATTTGTTCTCCACATATAATAGTAACTTGATATTATAATTTTAACGATGTATGCAAATGTACATATTTATTTTCAGTGGCTTTCCAAGCAAGCGGAAGCTAGAAGAAAAACTGGATTTGTTGTCGAGGATCTTCGCCCTGAAGAACAGGATCCTCAATGGTTAAAGGATAAGGGCGAGTACGTTAATGAAAACGTGTTTTGTCACATATTTTTTATTATTCAAAATTAATTATTTCTATATTTTTTGCAGTGATTTTTTCAAGGCGGGGAACTATCTGGCTGCTATCAGTGCGTACACGCATGGGATTAAAATCAGTAACGAAATGACGGCGCTCTACGTGAATAGATCGGCTGCGCATTACGCTCTCGGAAATTATCACAGATGCATTGACGATTGTTCTAAGGTAATGAAAATCTTAATCGATATATATTATTTTAGAATATGTTATCCAGAAATATTTTTTAAAAGTTTCAAAAAAATTGAGAAGATAAGAGAATAAAAAAATATACAGAAAATATAAAATAGGAAATAAGCAAGAAGTTTACAATATGAAATCGCTTAAAATTAAAGAGGTATAGAACAGAAAAAAAATTATGTATAACTTATCAGTTGATTTTGAATTTCCAAATATTTATAATTAAGTTTTATTTTTTCAGTGTTTTGTTATATAAAACACTGAAAAATATCGATATATGACAGATATTTTTTATATCACTTCCAATTCTTAATTTTTACATAAGAAATATAGGAAAGTATGTAATTAGAAAGAAAAGATTTTCTTTTTCTAGGTATTAGAACTGATGGAACCAAAATGTGAGAGTAACAGAGTATCGAGAGCGAGATGTCATGCTCGACGGGGCGCTGCACTTTGCAAATTGTCTGCACCGCAACACGGAATCCCTGAACTAGAGGCTGCTCTGAGATTAGACCCTAATAATGAGAGCATTAAACACGACCTTCTCGCCGTTAAACAATATTTTAATATAAAGGAATAAAGATAGGGACAAAGGACAATTATATCGATTTAAAAAAATGTTCCCTTTTGTCATTATAAGAACCTTTCGATTTTTTTTTATTTTAAGAAACAGGAATCCTCTAATCTATATAATTCATTTCCACTGTTTTCTTTTAATTAATCGTGCGTTAAGAAGATTATTGTCCTCATATTTATTATCCTTGTTCAAAGCTTACTATTCTTATTGTTAGCGGCCACAGATTCATTCATACAGGCGCACTTGGTGTGCTCCAGAGCATGGATGACTTCATGATGACGATCTCGTTGTTGATCGATGCGGTGCCTGATCATGAAGACGAGGCTGACGTTTTTGGTCTCGATCGGAGCACAGACTTGCTTGGAATCGGGACAACATCCCGACTCTGCGCACCGCGCTAGAACCGTGGATGCAGGATAGAAGATTTCGTCAGGTCCTGGACCCGCAGTTAGGAGATCTTCCACCCGGACAGCCCTTGGTTGGGGTAAGGAACATTGAAATTCATACACCAATTGCGCGTGGTTCAGAAAACTACTATCCCTGCATTGAATAAAAAGAGTATAGGTGTGTGATTATGAAAATGGAGAAAATGAAGATAGAAGAAAGGACAATGAAGAATAAATCGAGAGGAAAAGAATTTGATAAATAATTTTTTTTAAGATATTAAAAAAGAAATAATAAGTCATAAACACCGACTGACTACATCATGTTCTCACCTGTAATGTCTGCCAGTGACAGTTAGTGCGAACTGAACGCAGATTACGAGCAACAAAAATTTTTTCATCTTCAGAATATAATTCAAGCAAACTTTCACAAGTCTTTAAATCACTGCAACGTTTTTCTCAATAACAGTAAGTTTAATTCAGTAAATTCTTTAAAGCGAACATTACGATATTTCTGTAAAAAAAAAGCACTCCTTTATCAATGATGTTTAATAAAAAATTTAATTTCCCGAATAGCGATTACAATATTTATCAAATATACGTCAATTTATTTCACCACACACAATAATTATATATTTTTCAAAAGATTCAATTTTAATATTTTTTCCAGAAAAAAGCCAGTTCTTTTTTATTCTTCCTCCCCGTTCCTCGCAAAATTCGCACCGAGGATGCTTGCTGCGACTGCTGTCGAGGCTCTACGATCTGAATTCTTTCGTGCTGTGTATATACGTAATTTTTATCCAGGCTGTTCCCTCATTCTCGTCCTCCCTTCTCTGATTTCTTGGTCTCACCTGTTATTCGATGTCTTTTCGCTTGGAGCATCTCCCTGCGGATTCCCGGTAAGAGAAAGAAATTCGAAGAGGGATCAGTCTAATGATTCCGAGAAGTTCTTTGAGTTAACTATAATTACTAGAAACAGCGAGAGCACGATGTTGCTTCTCGTGACTCTTCCCATTCTCATTACGCTTTTCTTGTCCTTTAAATGTTCTCTCTCCTCGATTCATTTAACCACTTGTTTTAGGATGCAGAAATCCGAAAAACAAATGCAATGAAATAAAATCAATAAGTCGTTTTTATTAATTTTAGCGATTAATTTAATTAAGTTTGTTTAAAATTATTAAAAGATTTTGAAATTCTAAGAAGTTAATACTTTTTAATATGTATATTTTCAAATCAGCGGATTTTACATCGTAATTTTACCTCGTATTGCAAACTTTGAAATATATTTTTAATGTTGTATTAAGTGATTAAATAATAATAAAACAAATTGAGTGTAGTTCCGAACTGAGGAACCTGATTAAGATTGCTTTGGGAAAGTTACGTGAGTTGTCGAAATCCATAACGAAATTCGTACCGTTTTGGCGATCATGCATTTCAGAGATTGAATCATCATTGAGTGATTCATATAGAATGAGTTTGAAATTTTTATAGGACAAATCGATACATTCTACTGCTTATTTTATTGAAGCGAGTGTGGCATTAAAGTACATTATAAATAAATTAAAGCCGATATATTCTTAAAAATCTTAAGTAGCTACAATAGCATTTTGAAACATAGAAAACTTGTAGTGATAAATAATTTTTATGTGATTAGAAAGAAGGAAGAAAAAAGATTTGACAATGAAAAAAGTTAGAAAAGAAAATAGAATTGTAAGTAAAGATTCTGATAGCCATTTGGGTAAGCATACGAGTCATCTATCATGAAAAAGACTAAAATAGAATTTGTATAGCGTTCATTAAAATTAATTATATCATGTAATCGTGTCGTAATTATAAACCGGCTCGTATCATGTTTTATTCCTGGAACAGAACTCTGGTCAATGAGTTTCATAAGCCAAGCGGAAGGAAATTCCATCTGCGAGAGGAAGATTAGGAGTATATACCAACGGTATTCCGACATGACAATACATCACTTTTATGTCTCTCTCTCTCTCTCTTTTAGATATTTATATGATATTTTTATGAGATGGATTATGCGATCAAATTAAACAAATTGACTACTATGTAACATTTAATGTAACGATATGTATTACTATCCAGTAATATGATGCAAATGATCTAAAAATATGTGCTTCTTACACGCATGTACATTGGAACATCCGGTACAGCGTGATGCAAATGACAGAAGGATGCGTCAGCAATAAGGAAACCCCCCAGTAATGAAAAGAGAATATCTTCTCGATTCTATAGATGTTCTCATCTACGTCACAACAGGAAATTCACGGTATTTGGGTCTTTTACACAGAATTATCTGGCGCTGGTGAAATCATTTCGCATTCTTCATCTGCATTTAATTCTATGACTAATGACTTGCATAAAAAAACATTATTAAGTTTTCCACAATTTCTTAAAATAAAATATATGTATATCAGATTTTTTTATTTAAATAATTAGAAGGCTATTTTATAGGAGTTGTACTAGTTTTTTAACTAAAGGTATTTTGTAGATCATTGTGGGAAATGATGAAAATTGATATTTAATACATTCATTTCTTGTTTTAAAATATAAAAATTTGTGTCATAAATTACTTTACATAAATTAATGAATTTATTAAATAGTAGAAAATAGCTACTAATAAAATATACTATAAAATGTAAAGAATTCTTCAAACGGATTGCACATATACTTGCAATCGTTTTCAAATTACGTAAATTATAGAGTGTTTCAGTGTTTATGGCATCATCTTTTGAAGATCATTAGTAGCTTGGAATTTTAATCTGTTCTCGATTAAGCTTTATAACGTTGAAAAATGTCATTTTATTTCATGTATGTGATACATTCTTAAAAATTAAAATAAATTATTTTTATAATATTAAACTAGAATAAAGTTAACATTATATGTTTTTGAATTATTACAAAATTAGACAATTTCTCACACATATACACATGTACTCGTAAACTTTTGAATTTAAAATAACTGATGTATGCTATGAACACGTGGTGCACATCTCTAATAAAGAGGCGCGTGTGTAATTAAGAATTCCGATCTTGAGCTTCATCGCATGTATAATTATAATAGCTAAGCAACACAAGTTCTAGCGGGAAACTTAACCACAATGAGAGACTACCAAGTATATTGGATTCGCTAAAAATACCGTTTATTTCATCTGAGTCATCTAGCCAGATGCCGATTCCTAAAAAAAAAATGGATAAAAATGGAAAAGGAAGAGATTCCTTACTTTATCTTGAAATAAATTCGAAGATCAGGGACTTCGTTACAGGTACAAAATAATTTAAACTTAATTTTAATTATTTTGTAAAAATACTTATGTTAATTATGTAAAACTGATCTGAAATAAGATGCCTATAAGACAATGCCTTAACATAAACCATGTTATAAATTAGGGCGTAAAACGCTTTGAAGATGTCATAACGCAGTCTTTTTGATGTCTTCGGAATTTAAAGACGTTTCAATTTTATCTTAACATTTCAACCATGCATCCTTACGTATTCTAATAAACGAAAGCCATGTTGCTGATGATTATTTAATTGCACGTTGATAGTCATCGTAGTCGTCAATATAGTCGCAAAAAAAATCTTTGAAATGCAAATGCGTCACGTTTCAATATGCAAACCAGTTTAATTGATACTAGGAAGATAAACGTGATCGATTTCATTGCGTTTGGTTATTCACCCGCCAAGACATACGGAATAGTATCATCGAGTTCCGATTTTCTAAGAAATTTATCTTCGTATAACGAGTCAACTTGAAATTAATCTAGATAAATCTAAGATGCATAACGATTTCAAGTCTTAAGTCTATAAATGCTGGAAAAGGGAGAGAATACGAAAAGAACTTCATATCTAAATTTTTCAAGTTTCACCAATGTACCAATTAAAATTTGCATCTTTCTTATAGAATTATGTTATTCGCAAGGAAAGAATCTATGAATTAAAAAATTGTAATGGTATCGCGTTTATTTTTCCGACAGTATCTACATCCTAACGTTTGCAATGAGATTAAGCATAGCAAAACGAGCCATGCCATTTACTTTTTACACGAGATGAAAAAAGTATATTTTATTAATTTTATTATTATTATTATTTGTCTTCATTATATCACATCATTCATTAATATTATATATTGATACTTGACAATCCGATTATCAGTTACGAGAATTATTATTCTAAGTGCAAGGGGTTAAACAGCAACGATGCGGTCGTGCATTAAGCGCGAACAACGGTTGCACAATAAAGCGGAATCATCGCGGAAGGCAGACACGATCCGGACTTTACGCGTGCTCTCGTGTGAGGCATGCGTGTGCAAGCTCTTCCATATATAAATACACGTATGCCAGTGGGAAAATCTCAGTCGACCGATACTTGGTGCCTGTAGCTTCTCGTCCATTCGAGCTACTTCCGTCCAAAAATTAAAAATTTATCGGGACCGCCACGTGAGTTTATCGTCCATTAATTTTCCAAAAAAAAAGAATATTTCATTAAGAAATACATCAAGTTGACTGTGTCGATACACATTTTCTTGTCTGAGAAAGTTGGACACGAGGTTCGTGAAGTGGAGGAAGAGACAAGAGAAAAAATTTTTCATCTTTGAAAAAGCAACAAGAGAAGAAAAACTTCTCATTTGTCCTGCATATCCTTAGTTTTTCATCCAATAAGCCGCAGCATGAGGCAGTTTTCAAGCCAGATATTCAATGGAACCAGATTTTTATAAGTTCAACACGATTGATTTCTCGTAGCCAGGCATCATTGATCTCTCTAATCAGTGATCGAGTGCGATTGAACTTTTGGGCGGAAAGTACAGACTTTATGTCCGCGCAATTTCCTTTTTGAATTAAAAAGATTCAGGTGAAACAATTATGAAAAGCAGATCGATGAAGAGATCGCTTCTAAGACTCTTAATTTTGATCCTGACGACGGTGGATCAAATGATGGTTGTTTTGGCGACTCATCACGGTGGTCATCATAATCGGGTGTCGAAGAGGATCCACCTGTCGCGCGCGATGGAGGCCACTAAGAAGTTCCTTTGCAGAGAACCCCAGTCAAGAGCCTATAATCTGAGAGATCTGGTGCAGAGTATGCATCCAAGCGAGAGCGCAAATCAGCCGGTGTACATCGTGTTAAAGAGATGCGACAGTCACTCTGGTTGCTGCGTCAGCCCTGATCTCAGTTGCACGCCGGTGCAGACGTCGATCTATTACGAGGAGATGGAAGTCGAGGTTTGGAGCCTGCTGACAAATAGTACAAGGAGGGCGTGGATTAGAGTCGAGCAACACGGCAGGTGTAGTTGTGAGATCAGTAATGCCACTGAAAGACTCAGGACAGACATTCAACTACCTGGTATACAGATCCTTTGAGAAGTTCGTCGAATCCATTCATTCAGTATTATGGAGCAGAATGGAAGACTGTAATTGAATTGCCCAGGAATTGACCGAATATCTTGCATTTTTCTGTTAGACATAGTTATGGTACAAAAAGAATACATGTTCAGTGTTAATTGAAATTAGTTAATCAAGACAAAGAGACTGGAGTTAAGGTTTTTAAAGGTTGATTAGGATTGAATCTTTTTAGTTAGTTAGGAAGAATGGATTTAGAAATGCATCAATAGTAGTAGTGATCTGCTCATAAAAAGTATTTGAACCTAATCAGTGCTATAGTGTGAAAAAATTGATATAAAGTGCTAAACAAATATTAAATAAATAAATATAATTATATAAAAATAAATATAATTATGATCATAACTGAGACTGAGACAGATTAGATTAAAATAAGCTTCTTAAAGCTTTTTCTATTAATACTCATCTGAATTTAATGTCCATTATGTATGGCTATGACTACGATGATAAAGGACAAACAACGATAAAAAGTGAAATTAGTTGACAGATATTATATAGCAGATTTATAATATCAGAGATTATACAAATTTAAACTACATCTGTAAGGATCGCTAGAGGAAGATATGGCCGGCGAAGATGTGTGAAGGTCTTTTCCTAGGATATTTAATAAATAAATCATGAGAGCGATTGTGATTTAGAACAAATATGTTATAAGTATTTAAGAATACTTTGAAAGGGTTGAATATCAACTTAGAAATATAAAAATTTGGATGATTGATAAGAGCATCTGATAAGAGGTAAAAGCGAGAGTCTTTCAGTTGATAAATATATGCAAAATAAGGCACCAGTCTACTTTTCTCGCAAGTTCTGCACTCTATTTCGACGTGATATTTATATGAAACTAATAACACTGCAGAAACTGACAGCTACGTTTAACGCTAAATATAACTTCACGATGTATTGGTAAAATTGCGATGCTGTTCGCGCGTTAGACACAGTGTATATACTTAGTTAAACAAAGTCCAGACGCGGCGAAAATAACATACTGCGTTTATATGTAAATAGCACTGTATCTTTCAGATACAGGAATAAGACTTTTTTAGTTATAAGCGATTTTTTATGATGTAATCAATTCGGCGACTATCGTGGCCAAAATTAGAAGAAATTTATATACGATTAATCCAAAAAACAGTATTTTAATATTAGTTTAAATTTAACGTAATTTTGGTAAGCGTTCACTTTTTTGTAAGATAATTAATTTATTGAACAAATTATTTTTCAATTGTAGAATAAATAATTGATAAGCGAGACGAGATGTGATATAAATCAGCACATCGAAAGGATTGAACAGTATTCCTGTAGTGTATCTAATTAGCAATTATTAATATATATTACTCAATTATTTAATTTTTATACTAATTTATATATATATATCGATTAATTTATGCGAATCGATGCGATAAAAATGTTCATAAAAATAAATCGCAATTTTGACTATTTTTATATCAATTCATGCAATTTATTTCTCCATATCTTATTTATTTTTAATTTTCGTCTTCGATGAAAAGATTCTAATAAGTTTTCCTAACATTCTTTTTTTAACAATTCTTAAAAAAAAGGAGTTTAATTAAAAATAAAATTTCTCGAACAGTTAATGTTAATATTTATGTTTATAATTTTATTAGCTATATATATAAATCGTTTATCTGCCTAACTATCTGCAGAACGGAAATAGTATAACAATGTGAATTCTCGATTTAGCACATAGACATGCGAATAGAACTGGGTTGATGCCCAATCAGGAGCCGCTATGTCAACGCCGACTCTCGCGGACACCTGTTCCGCAAAGTTAGCTTTGTTAAAAAGAAAAAAAAATCGCTAACTCATATACACAATCGAGTGTTAGCCCGAATTGAGCATCTGTATAAAAGAAATGTTTCGATATTATATTATCCGCTGGAAAAATTGATCTATATTTTATATATGTGTCTGTTTAAATTTTACATATGTTTGTTTAAATGAAATGGAAGTGGATATTTTGGATTTTCAGTTTTTTTTTTTTCAAAGAATTCACTCGGAGAAGTACAAAATTTAATTCTCTATTTTCTTAAATCTAGAAAAAATTTATTATAATTTGTTGTAGGATTTCAAAGTAACAAAACTGTAATCAAAATCCTTAATCTTTGTGAAAAAATTCTTTCGGTTTATCCTCAAATAAACAATCTACTAAAAAAAAAATATGGATAAAAATATAGTATAAACATTCCTACACATAATTGGTCTGCACATTGTTTTAAAAAAACCAGAAAATCAAAGTATTTATTATACAAGAATGAATTAATCGATTTACTTACTGAGTTACTTTTACTTGCTTAACATACAATAAATCGACAGTATAAACTACGCACAGAATGTCTGACGAATAAAAGACTTACAAGACACAGAAGTCGATGTGCGATATTACGAGTATCGGGTGTAAGGATATTTCGAGCGCATTCGTCGGCCTCGTGTTCCTCGCCCTCGTCCCCCCTCATTGCCGGTTCCTCTATTAGCGTGTCCTCGCATTACAGGTTGTCCTTCAAAAATAGAGATATTACAAATTTTAACATTTGTCGCACAAAAAATATCTTGATAATGCGAAAACGGGATATACAGCATATTTTATTGCAAAATCAATTTTTATCAGAGACAATGAGGAGATGTTATATTTTACATATACACACGTGCGCGCGTACAATTATTTTTAAATAACCATAATTCATTAGCTATGTGCATAAATAGTAAATTAGATGTATTTTTTTAAAAGAATTAATAAAAAAAAGAATCTTTTATATAAAAAATTAATGTGATAAGAGAAAAAAATGATATAAATTTATATTCTCTATCTACAAATAGACAGATAAGAATTTAATAATCGCTCATTCTGTCCACTCACCTCTACCCGACTGATTATCTCCCCACACAATCGGTGTAGGCCTCGCGCCCCTCGCTACCCTGAAGGTCGACCTCGGTGATCTTCTCACCGTCATTCCCCTAGCACCGTTAGGATCACCCGCGGTTGCCAGGCTGGCTGCCATTGTCCTTTGACGAGTGTTACTGGATGGCGAAGCCTCTGCTTCGCGACTCTCTTCTTCGACTTCGTCTTCAGCAAGTTCACTTCCCGCTTCTTCCGTCACTTCCACCGTGTCCACGGTATTGTCCTCGCCGGATGCCAAGGCTATCGGCTCTTCCGGTCGTTTTTCACCTTCCGAACTCACTCCTGCAAAGAGGAAAAAAAAAAGACGATAAGATTGATACGGATTGTAACGAATAAGTCGTTATTATTTAGAATTAGAAACCAATGAGCAATGTAACGCAGCAGTAGATAATTGTAATTTTCTGCTAAGTGGCACAATAACACGAATGGCGTTACGAACTCTTTCCATGCGGTCCCTAGTAATTATTTTTAATATTTGTTTCTTAGAATAAATCTTTCGATGAATTTGACGAGATACCTTCGCTCGGAGTTGCGCTAGATTCTGTAGCTTCAGTCGAACCGCGTTGTTGGTCATTGGCACCGACGATGCGGATATTAGGAATGCCAGGTTCCTCAACATTGTCACCAGAAGTAGCCGTTACGGAAACGGGCGTTACAGCGGTTTCTTGTTCCTCGGATTGGCCACTACTTGTCTATTTGTTTTAGATAGGAATTAAATAAAAGTATTAATAATTAATAATACTAATATTTTATTTTTATAGAAAATTATGATAAAAAAGATTGCTTTACCGAAGGTGGCAAGTCCGCAGCCGGAGAGACCTGGAGAGGTGTTGTAGGAACGCTGCGACCAGTCCCGCCGTCTTCCAGCTGTGTCAAATCTATCCTACTGTCGTCCATGCTTTCTTGAACAACTTGAGCTACTGTAGAACTGGAAGAACCAAATATGGTCCTAGTAATAGAACCTGTAGGTGTTGTTAGGGACGGTGTTGAGGAGGCTGTTGTGGGTGTTGAATGATCACCGAAGGTGAAACGTCCCTGAGGTACTTGTGGAGAACTCACAGCTTCCCCGAAACCGTCGCGACGAGGAACAAAAAGGGTTGGTGTGCTGGGAACGATGCAATCATCGCCACCGTCTTCGTAACCTGGTTGTGGCTTTTAGAAGAAGAAAAAAACGACAATATAAGATGCGCGTGTAAAAAGTAAATTTTTTTTTATAAATTAAAAAATTTCAATTTCAAATAAAAAAAAATGTTATGTCTTAAATATCAACCAGAAGAAGATGTTGCTGTTGCTGCTGTCTCGGCATAGCGATTCCTCTAGCTCTGAAGGTCGGTGGCTCTCCGGTCGGTCCAGCGCTGCTAATGGCTTCAGATTGTTGCTGATTAGTAGGAATGGATGTTTGACCTTGTCTAGGAACTTCGACGCTAGTTCTAGAATCTTCCTCCATAATAATCTCTACCTCGTTATTATCCCGTTCTACCTCAACTTCAACTTCATAGGGCATTTCTTCTTCCTCTTCCATTTCCTCGTATGGATCATTTTCAAATTCCTCTTCTTCTTGGGCTTGATGGTTGCCTCCACCTTCACCCTCATCACAATCTACTACTACTACGCAGCCTTCTTCTACTTCTTCATCTTGATCCCTCTGACTAGATGTAGGCACCTGATAATATCAATATCAGTTAAAACATTATTTAAAAAATTGAATTGTACGCACACATGTATACACAAATCTTTTATCTTTTTGTTGTATTGTTCTTACCTGATATTCCACTTCAGAAGCGCTGGCACTCGCAGTCGCGCTAATGTCCTGTCTACTCCTCTTGGTCTTTGGGCTCTGCACCTGTTCCTGACGTCCGTGATCCACCTCTTCGGCTATCCCGGAGCCAGAGGCGGTCGAGTCTAAAGCCCGGGGTCTCTTTACTCCCGAGGAAGCTTGGGACGTACTAACCGACTGCGTGGAGCTGCTCGCCACAGTTTGTTGTTGATCGCTGATAGCAACTTGCTGCTGCTGCTGCTGCTGCTCTACTCTGGGGCTTACGAGCGCTACTGTTTGCTGCTGCTGTTGTTGTTGGCATTGTTGCTGCTGCGGCTGCATGTTGAGCGTTTCTGCACTTTCCGGGTCTTCTCTCTGTGTGGATTCGGCCGATTCACTTAATTGCGGTTGAACTACCAATTGACGAAGACTACTGGTTTGTGCGCTCTGCGAAGAACTGCTGGTGCTTGCTGGCTGGAAGTCGGTTAAACTACTAGTCGGCGAACTCGTCTCCGTGGTATGCACCACTTGTTGTTGCTGTTGCTGCATTTGATGCGGCGCGACCATGACTGGCGCGCTAGCCGTAGTCGGCAACACAGCCGCCGTTCTCGATTGCACGTGTCTCTGCCCTTGCTGACATCGGCTTAATGTTCGCCGTGGGCGGTTCCGTAGTTGCACTCACTCCGCTTATTCCTGACAGCTGTCTCTGCAGCTGAGCAACTCTCTGCAACAGCGACTCTTTCTCCGCTTGCACTTCTAATTTTTCATGCTCTAATCTGGAGATGCGGCCCTCCATCTGCGATTTTAACGCCATTAATCGCGCATCATGCTCCGTATCAGAATGATCCCCTTGAACTCCTGCGCTGCCTCCTCCAGATTCTATCCTAGATCTTAAGTCTAATAATTCTTTTTCGCAAATCTTTTTCGACTCGGTCAGTTGCATGATTTTCGTTCTAGCACCTTTAAGAACTTGTTTTGCTCTCTCCTCCTTCTCCACACTATTGCGATTCATAGCTTCAATTTCCTTTCTCAGATTCTCGGCCTCGCTTTGAGCCGTTGTCATTTGGCGAGTTAAATCATCTACCTTCGTTACGAGTTCGGCGTTTGCCTGACGGAATTCCTGACGACCCTCTTCTCTCAGTTGATCTTCGCGGTCTTGGACAGTTGCGCCGGAAGTTTCTTCATTACTGGCTTCTTCATTGCGGTTCTTTTCTTCTTCTACGGTTCTCGCTAGCTCTTCAAATTGTGTTTTGTATTTTTTGGCTATTTTGCGAATTTGAATCTCTTTATTTCTGATGTCGTTAAGAACTGCTTCCTTGTCGCCTATTTCTTTTCTGAGGAAAACCAAGTCTTTTGCCTTCGAAGAGGAGTCGGCTAATGCCTCGTTGAGGTCTTGGCCCAGTTTGCGCGCCTCTTCC